AACTGTTCTGAAACTCTGCCAACCCGCATTTCCATACCGGAAACAACGCCATTTCTCTTCCATAATTTGAAGAGTTTAACGTTCAGGATGCCGTTGTACAAAGCGATCGTAGCGCTAAGGTGATCCTAACTCCCATACCTTATCATAGACTAATGACAGTCGTAGCGCTAAGGTGATCGTAACTCCCATACCTTAACATAGACTTAAGACAGTCGTAGCGCTAAGGTGATCGTAACTCCCATACCTTAACATAGACTTAAGACAGTCGTAGCTAAGGTGATCGTAACTCCCATACCTTAACATAGACTTAAGACAGTCGTAGCGCTAAGGTGATCCTAACTCCCATACCTTAACATAGACTTAAGACAGTCGTAGCTAAGGTGATCGTAACTCCCATACCTTAACATAGACTTAAGACAGTCGTAGCTAAGGTGATCGTAACTCCCATACCTTAACACAGACTTACGACAGTCGTAGCGCTAAGGTGATCGTAACTCCCATACCTTAACATAGACTTAAGACAGTCGTAGCTAAGGTGATCGTAACTCCCATACCTTAACATAGACTTAAGACAGTCGTAGCGCTAAGGTGATCGTAACTCCCATACCTTAACATAGACTTAAGACAGTCGTAGCTAAGGTGATCGTAACTCCCATACCTTAACATAGACTTAAGACAGTCGTAGCGCTAAGGTGATCGTAACTCCCATACCTTAACATAGACTTAAGACAGTCGTAGCGCTAAGGTGATCGTAACTCCCATACCTTAACATAGACTTAAGACAGTCGTAGCTAAGGTGATCGTAACTCCCATACCTTAACATAGACTTAAGACAGTCGTAGCGCTAAGGTGATCGTAACTCCCATACCTTAACACAGACTTACGACAGTCGTAGCGCTAAGGTTGTTTTGTACATCGGCACCCGGATCAGTCAGGTGAATCATGCAAATGAGCTTGTTAAAAAATGGAAAACTCGAGAGAGTGAGTGAGAAAGTGAGAATGCTTTTACGCCGCTTTTAGCAATATTCCAGCAATATCACGGCGGGGGACACCAGAAATTGGCTTCACACATTGACAAATCGAGAGACAAAAAGGTAGCGTCGTCACGTCATTTTAGTTATAAACAAAAGACTAGAAACATAATACTTGTAAGTTTTTTAGTACGATTTGTTCGTTTCCATGTACTGGGTTTAATACAAACACTTGTGATATTCATATGTCCTAAATTACGTCAAAAGGGGCCAATCTTCGTAACTCGGTTAACTGGATCTCATGCGCATCGATCCACGCAATTGGGATGCGATGACATCCATCAACCAAGTCAGCGAGCCTGACCACCCGATCCCGTTAGCCGCCTCTAACCACAAGCATAGTCGCCTTTTACAGCATGCATTGGTTGCTGAAGACCTATTCTTACACGGACCTTCCCTCGTGGCGTTTACCGGTAATTCACGAGTTGCACCTCTGCCTCTAATACTAATTTGGGGCCATTGGAGCAGTCAAGTGGTTACAGCGTTCGCTTGTCACGCCAAAGGCCCGGGTTCGAATCCCTATATGGGTAAAATGTATGAAGCCCTGGTGTCGCCGCCGTGATATTGCTGAAAAATCATTAAAGGCGTCACTCACTCACATTACTCATCACGTCGGTTTTAGACGACTAGGCCACCCTGTCTCCTCAAGTAGATAAGGCCCGTGAAGATCCGGGGAAGAATAGGTCTTCAGCAACCCATGCTTGCCGTAAAAGGCGACTATGCTTGATGTAACAGGCGACTAACGGGATCGGGTGGTCAGGCTCGCTGACTTGGTTGATGCATGTCATCGATCCGAATTGCGTGGATCGATTCTCATGTTGTCAATCACTGGATTGTCTGGTCCAGACTCGATTATTTACAGACTGCCGTCATATTGCTGGGATATTGCTGAGTGCGGCGTTAAACAACAAACAAACAAACAAATTGAATAGATAAGAACAGCAAAAACAGGAAAAAACGAGAACCATACAATTTCACAAATACCATCAGCACAATCAAACCCCGCACATGCCGTGCTGCTAATCTGTAGACACGCTCTTTCACACACGCCATTGCCTAACATAATCACCGCGATACAACGAGATCACGCTAACGGCTACCTTTAGTTAATAGCACTGTGCAGAAGCAAAACCCATAGGTATATAAGCCGGTGTCCCAGTCTGACTACGCCTCCACCCACAGAGTGATGAATAAGAGATGAAGGAAGAGAACCAATAATGATACAATGGACAATGAGAGTTTGTCGCGGTAACGGAGCTGCACCAAAGTCCTCATTTACAGCCAAGGTGGCGCGCCGAGGCCGTATACAAAAAATTCTAGTCTTTTTTATCGAACACAATTAAACTGAAGGACCTTCGGGGCTCGTATCAAAAGCAAAAGTGCCAGTCAGTTGGACGGAGCAAAATATTCTTATATGTGATGTGAGGTGAAATGGGGTTTAACGTCGCGTCCAAGATTATTGCACTTATACCGCAAGCATGTACGTGTGTGTTTGTGTGGCTGCTTGTACTAGTGCTAGCTTTATAGTGCTAGCTCACTGAGATACCATGCCGCAGTTTAACATGAATACCCAACTCAGACACAGTATACGGACTCCGAGCCGACCAGTCCTTTTTTAGCCCCTTAATGCCGAGCGCCAGACAGGGTAACAACAAGTACCATCTTTCAACGTTTTTTTTGGTATGACGGATCGGGGATCGAACCCCGGACCTTCCGCTCTCCGGGCAGACGCTCTACCACAAGACCACGAAGGAGGTCCTCTTATATGTCATTGTAGTCACTCACAGCCTAAATGCTCGGTATATTTGTCTCGCTTTCGACACGATCCCCGGGGCAATTCCAATACGAATTCACTCACTATTAGGCCAGATGTATGCATTGTTTTAAGTTTTCACTTTAGAACAAATAGGTTTATTGAAAAATATTTGTGGTATTACATCGATTACCGTTATTTTGTGTAAAATTGTTTTTAGTTATTATAAAAACTATGCAGCTCGTTTTATTCACGGAACACAAAAACGTTTCGCGACACTTCTCTATACCCTAATGTTTGTTTCTTGTTTAACGCCGCACTCAGCAATATTCCAGCTATATGACGACGGTCTGTATATAATCGAGTCTGGACCAGACAATCCAGTGATTGACATCATGAGCATCGATCCATGCAATTGGGATCTATGACATGCATCAATCAAGTCAGCAAGCCTGACCACCCGATCCCGTTGGTCGCCTTTTACGACAAGCATAGTCACCTTTAACGCCAAGAATGGGTTGCTAAAGACCTATTCTACCCCGGATCTTCACGGGTCTGTACCCTAATGAGATGCCATATTGTAATAGAATGCATAAAAGATTGGAACGCTGACTAAGCAGATAGAAACAAATAATACCTTGGGGAAGAGGAAGGTTGTGAAGAGAACGTAAATTGTCATTGGTCGTAATGTTTTGATATTGATGCTCATTTGATTATATGTTTGTCAGTGATTCCGGGTCAGAATAGGTTCCCAACAACCTATGCTGGTCGTAACGTGACTAACGGGATCGGGTGGTCCAGTTCTTGGCAACATATCCCAGTTGCGTAGACCGATGATCATGATGTCAATCACTGGATTGTCTGTTCCAGACTCAATTATTTACAGACCGCCGTAATATAGCTGAAATATTGCTGATTGCGGCGTTAAACAACAATCAAAAAAAAAAGAAAAGAAAAAAAAGAAACACACATTGTGGAAGTTACATTATGAGCTGCCAAGTCATCGCTCAGCAACACGTTCCTATATTTTAGCAAGTTGGATGAGATGGTGTTCTTAAAGGAGAGGGGCGGTCGGGTAGCCTAGTGGTTTAAGCGTTCGCTCGTCACGCCGAAGACCCGGGTTCGATTCCTGACATGGGTACAATGTGTGAAGCCCATTTCCGGTGTCCCCCGCCGTGATATTGCTGGAATATTGCTAAAAGCGGCGAAAAACCATACTCACTCACTCACTCACTCTTAAAGGAGAATGAAACTGTTGGATCTTCCTGATATTGACAAAGTGCGGGACATTAAGGGAGAGTGACTTTTGTTTGAGAATTTACTTAAGTTTAAAGCATTATTTCCCTTGTTTCAAATTTGAAATTCAGGGACATGCGGTCTTTTTCTGATTTAGTGGAGGTTCTGGTTTGGTCCAAGGTTTAAAAGCAATGCCAAGAACTGTCCTCTCCAGTCGATACTGTGGGCTCTTACTGTTTGTAGACCCATCCATCAGCAAAGGTTGCTGGAGTCTTTTGATAATGGTTTTGTTCTTACTTTGTGCTGTCCTGGTTCCCGAAGGAGGGGCAACACATTTTCTAAATTAATGGGATCATTTGGCCTCGTGCTTGCTTGTGGCCATGGCCATGGCGGCGTCTTTGGGATGCCGGAAACAGACTCGAAGGGCGGATCCAGCATTTTTAAAAGGGAGGGGTCCAAAATATCTGACACGCCTGACACACTGCCCAGCGACAAAGACTGCTTAACCACCCTTGCAACCTTCACATTTACATGGATAACACAAAAGGACCTCATGTATTTGTTCATTTCCATAAAACATATTAACAAACAAGAAAGGACAAACAAACATTAGCTCTTGAATAGACACTTACCAACGCTAAAATTAATATGTACGAACACAAAGAATTTGCCATGGTGATATGACAACAATATTCAGTTGTATGTCTACAAGGGTATGATGTCCATACAGATCGTTGAATGTAAACGATAAGTGGTCTTCAAGCACCACGAAACATCTTAAGATAAAAATGTATAATAATGACATGGGTCCAACAACAATTACATTATACAAACAACATTAAACGTTTGAACTGGCGGGTGAGTGAGGTTGAAATCAATATCGATTTGTACGCGCTCTACTTACTTGCGACTTTTCAGATATTCGATACACAGATATCGTGACAATTGTAACATGAATTGATTATCGATTATTACACACAATCTTGTAGATCAGTAATCATCGTTTAGACATGTACATGTAGGATGTTGGAGTAGTGTCTTGTATATCAGTAATCACCGTTTACACATGTCCATGTAGGATGTTGGGATAGTGTCTTGTATATCAGTAATCACCGTTTAGGCATGTACATGTAGAATGGTGGGATAGTGTTGTGTATCAGTAATCATCGTTAACACATGTACATGTAGAATGTTGGGATAGTGTTGTATATCAGTAATCACCGTTTACTCATGTACGTGTAGAATGTTGGGATAGTGTCTTGTATATCAGTAATCATCGTTTACACATGTACATGTAGGATGTTGGGATAGTGTCTTGTATATCAGTAATCACCGTTTACACATATACAAGTAGAATGTTGGGATACGGTCTTGTAGATCAGTAATCACCGTTTACACATGTACATGTAGAATGTTGGGATAGTGTCTTGTATATCAGTAATCACCGTTTACACATGTACATGTAGGATGTTGGGATAGTGTCTTGTATATTAGTAATCATCGTTTACACATGTACATGTAGGATGTTGGGATAGTGTTGTGTATCAGTAATCACCGTTTACACATGTACATGTAGAATATTGGGGTAGTGTTGTGTATCAGTAATCACCGTTTACACATGTACATGTAGAATGTTGGGGTAGTGTCTTGTATTTCAGTAATCACCGTTTACACATATACAAGTAGAATGTTGGGATACGGTCTTGTAGATCAGTAATCACCGTTTACACATGTGCATGTATGATGTTGGGGCAGTGTCTTGTATATCAGTAATCACCGTTTACACATGTACATGTAGGATGTTGGGATAGTGTCTTGTATATCAGTAATCACCGTTTACACATGTACATGTAGGATGTCAGGATAGTGTCTTGTAGATCAGTAATCACCGTTTACACATGTACATGTATAATGTTGGGATAGTGTCTTGTATATCAGTAATCACCGTTTACACATGTACATGTAGGATGTTGGGATAGTGTCTTGTATATCAGTAATCACCGTTTACACATGTACATGTAGGATGTTGGGATAGTGTCTTGTGTATCAGTAATCACCGTTTACACATGTACATGTAGAATGTTGGGATAGTGTCTTTGATGTCAGTAATCACCGTTTACACATATACAAGTAGAATGTTGGGATAGTGTCTTGTAGATCAGTAATCACCATTTACACATGTACATGTAGAATGTTGGGATAGTGTCTTGTATATCAGTAATCACCGTTTACACATGTACATGTAGGATGTTGGGATAGTGTCTTGTATATCAGTAATCACCGTTTACACATGTACATGTAGGATGTTGGGATAGTGTTTTGTGTATCAGTAATCACCGTTTACACATGTACATGTAGAATGTTGGGATAGTGTCTTGTATTTCAGTAATCACCGTTTACACATGTACATGTAGAATGTTGGGATACGGTCTTGTAGATCAGTAATCACCGTTTACACATGTACATGTATGATGTTGGGGCAGTGTCTTGTATATCAGTAATCACCGTTTACACATGTACATGTAGGATGTTGGGATAGTGTCTTGTATATCAGTAATCACCGTTTACACATGTACATGTAGGATGTTGGGATAGTGTCTTGTGTATCAGTAATCATCGTTTACACATGTACAAGTAGAATGTTGGAATAGTGTCTTTGATGTCAGTAATCACCGTTTACACATATACATGTAGAATGTTGGGATAGTGTCTTGTAGATCAGTAATCACCGTTTACACATGTACATGTAGAATGTTGGGATAGTGTCTTGTATATCAGTAATCACCGTTTACACATGTACATGTAGGATGTTGGGATAGTGTCTTGTATATCAGTAATCACCGTTTACACATGTACATGTAGGATGTTGGGATAGTGTTTTGTGTATCAGTAATCACCGTTTACACATGTACATGTAGAATGTTGGGATAGTGTCTTGTATTTCAGTAATCACCGTTTACACATGTACATGTAGAATGTTGGGATAGTGTCTTGTATATTCGCAATCACCGTTTAGGCATGTAGAATGTTGGGACAGTGTTTGTACGTCAGTTATCGTCGCATGAGCAAAAGTTGTTCCCCATTTCCACGTTGTAGAGGTTCCAGTCGTCATCAGAGACGGCGTCATCTGCATCGTAGGACGGGAGAAGTTCGCACGCATCAGAGGAGGGGGAGAAGTTAAACCCCACGCAATCATACCTCTCGAAACATGCATCTGCACACTGACGTTTGGACGAGCTCATTGTCTGCAGGGTGTTGGTAGCAATGACTTTTGTGGCTGCCTGCTTTACAAACTTCATGTCTGGAAAGATAAAGCTACGTGTGGATGCAGAGACAAAAGGTGTGAAAAATACCCATATGTGGTACACATCGATTAGATAAATCAATATTAATCATTTACTCTCCAGCCGTTTAGGTAAATTGTGAAACAATATTTTTGTGATTGATGCTTTGAGTGAGTGAGTTGGGTTTAACGCCGCCTTTAACAGTATTCCTGTTATATCACGGCGTATTATATCAGACATTTACCACTTCGGTGAAACCCACGAGCACGGGTATGGTGCTGAAAAACCTAGAAACATAATCGGGGCGAACCGGGATTCGAACCAACAATCTCTGGTTTCTGGCGTGCCCAAGGGACGCAACTCTGCACAGCGAATCGCGGCGCCTTAGACGTCTGGGCCACCCGTGCCCCGATTGGTGTTTTGAATTGTAAAACATAATGAAATCCCTCTCGTGAGTTATTCATTACAAAAATGCCATTTCTATTAACTTGGTGAGTACTTTATTTTTATTTCTATTATCATGGTACGATGATGCTGACAAACAAAGTGATCATTATCGATCTAAACTGGGATTCGAACTCATGATCAGCGGATCCTGGCAAACTAAGGGAAGCAAATATGCCGGCCTCAAAGTTACAAGGAACACAATAGACACAACACTGCAGGTGAAGAGGCGTTTTCAAATTTTCGGAATCCCATCGGATTTTTCTATTACGACTTGTCATTTCAATGTTAATGTTTAATAATAGTGACAAGTTACTGGACAACCTTTAACCTAAGATGAATTTCTAAATTGGAATTTTGAGAATCTTACTCTTGGCTAGCCCCATGACTTGAACTTCACACAGCGCCAGCATATCTTCGGAGATGACCCAGGGCACCTGTATCCTCAGGTAGCGTCCCGTCAACGGCTCCTCACAGGGTACAGTCAAGGTGGTAAGGCTAGGGACACTTCCATTATAGTGCTTGCAGACGTTGCGAAACTCCATTGTGACGTCGTCAGAGATGAGGATGTCAAAGTCGTGAAGCCGTTCACCTTGAACACAATACGTGAGTCAGTGAGTTTGGTTTAACGTCGCTTTGAACAGTTATCGCACGGCTTGGCAGCTTGATGTTGGAGTGGGTGAGTGAGTATGGTTTTACGCCGCTTTTGGCAATATGCCAGCAATATCACGGCGGGGGACACCAGAAATGGGCTTCACGCATTGTACCCATGTCGGGAATCGAACCCGGGTCTTCGGCGTGACGAGCGAACGCTTTAATCACTAGGCTAGCCGACCGCCCCCTTAATGTGGGAGACAAACACTTAAGATGTTTACCACTTTGGTGAAACTCATGAGTACAGGTATGGTGCTGACACACCCAGTACCAATCAGGGCAATTCTGGCATTCTACCCATTTGTCAATGGTTTCTTGCACCTTCGGGACACACCTCTGCATAGCATTGTGGTGCTTTAGACGCCACTCGTGCTCCCTGCAAAGCTGCTGGGATTACAAGGAACTCGTATTGTCAAGAAATAATCCCTGATTGTTAGGAAGCAAGTGGTATATCGTTCATACATGCCTCTCCTAGTCTTGTACCATAGATCCCTCGCATCTCGAATCCATCTAAACCCGCTCTTGCTCGAGTACTGGAATACCTCTCAAAACACGAACTTTAACTGCTGAGCTATGTCCCCGCTACGTGTTCGAAAGGACAATGGTCGAAAACTTACCATAACTGTCTCTGTTTGTGATGATGACCTCCATCACCTGCAGAGAACACTCCAGGTCCACCTGCCACCACAAGTGGGACTCGAAGGGGACGCCATGCGCAGTTCCTGAGCAGTATCCAATATATGCAGCATGGCTGCCGTCAACTGCCTGCTCAGCATAGGATATTCCATAGCGTGAAACTTGCTCTGCTGGTCGGTTACGTGCCAGGTTGATGCCAAACACTGAAACAAGGCCACAGGAAGATGTTGAGTCAGTTAGCCAGGGATAGATATATCAAGGAACAACAACATTTCGTGGGAGCATAAAGTGTGCTTCGTTGATGTTTAAGGGATCGGGGGAGGGACTGAAACGTCTTTGAAAAAAATACAAAAATACAAACTGGAAAAAGCAATAATAAGTAGAACGTGTCTTTGTGTAAGGGCAACATGTTCTGTAGAGTGTGTCTTTGTGTCAAGACAACGTGTTGTGTAGAGTGTGTCTTTGTGTAAGGTTGGTTGGTTGGTTTGTTGTTTAACGCCGCACTCAGCAATATTCCAGCTATATGACGGCGGTCTGTAAATAATCGAGTCTGGACCAGACAATCCAGTGATTAATATCATGAGCATCGATCCAGGCAATTGGGATCGATGACATGCATCTACCTAGTTGTTCTTTGTGGGCGTTGGCTGCACAAAGGTTATGGATTAAATTCAACAATATAATCCTCGTAGAATAGTATCATCAGATGGTACAATATAATCAGAGTAGAAAACCGATGTCTTCAGTTAGCTCGCCAATACATGGTGTTGTGTAAATGTCTTAAGGCGTTCATTTTTATTGTTTATTTTGCTGACCCCAAATTCACAAAAGTTGAATAAAGTTAATTATAAAATATATTTAACAAATACTCGGGTAGGTTATTTGTCGGTTTGCGATGAGACGCAACCAAGTCAGCGAGCCTGACCTCCCGATTCCGTTAGTCGTCTTTTACGACAAGCGATGTTACCTTTTACGGCACGCATGGGTTGCTGAAGACCTATTCTATCCCGGAATCTTCACGGGTCTTTGTGTAAGGACAACGTGTTCTGTAGAGTGTGTCTTTGTGTAAGGACAACGTGTTCTGTAGAGCAAGGGTTAGTGTTAGGACAAAATGTCCTGTAGAACATGTCTTAGTGCGAAGTCACGGAAGAGCGTGTGTTTGTGGAAAAACAAGGCATGCAAGCAGAGCGTGTCTCAGTGATAGGAGAACATGTCCGGTAGAGCGTGTCATAGTGGAAGGAGAACATGTCCGGTAGAGCGTGTCATAGTGGAAGGAGAACATGTCCGGTACAGCGTGTCATAGTGGAAGGAGAACATATTCGGTAGAGCGTGTCATAGTGGAAGGAGAACATGTCCGGTAGAGCGTGTCATAGTGGAAGGATAACATGTCCGGTAGAGCGTGTCATACTGGAAGGAGAACATGTCCGGTACAGCGTGTCATAGTGGAAGGAGAACATATCCGGTAGAGCGTGTCATACTGGAAGGAGAACATGTCCGGTAGAGCGTGTCATAGTGGAAGGAGAACATGTCCGGCAGAGCGTGTCATAGTGGAAGGAGAACATGTCCGGTAGAGCGTGTCTTAGTGGAAGGAGAACATATTCGGTAGAGCGTGTCTTAATGGAAGGAGAACATGTCCGGTAGAGCGTGTCATAGTGGAAGGAGAACATATCCACTTACAGGTAGAGTATGTTGTAGTGTAAGGAAGATAGGTTTTATTGGAAGGAGAACATATCCGGTAGAGTGTGTCATACTGGAAGAACATATCCGGTAGAGCGTGTCTTAGTGGAAGGAGAACAAATTCGGTAGGGCGTGTCATACTGGAAGTACAACACTTACAGGTAGAGTGTGTTGTAGTGTAAGGACAATAGATCCAAGTAAAGCGTATCTTGCTGGAAGGAGAACATATCCAGAAGGTAGACGTGTCTTAGTGAAAGGTAGAGTGTGTTGTAGCGGAAGGACAATGGATCCAAGTAAAGCGTATCTTACGGAAGGAGAACATATTCGGAAGGTCGACGTGTCTTAGTGAAAGGTAGAGTGTGTTATAGCGGAAGGACAATGGATCCAAGTAAAGCGTATCTGACGGGAAGGAGAACATATCCGGTAGGTCGACGTGTCTTAAAAGGACAAAGGACAACACTTCCTGGCAGAGTTCGTCAAAGTGGAAGGAGAACATTTCCTGTAGAGGGTGTGTTAGAGGAAGGGGAGGGTGTCCTGTAGAGTGCGTCATAGCGGGAGGAGAACATATCCGGTAGAGCGTATCAAGCTGGAAGGGGGAACATATTCGGTAGAGCGTATTTTTCTGGAAGAGGGAATATACACTCTCCATAAAAAGAAACGCAGTAGATTTATTGTACCTAGTAAAGTCGATATTTTTAATTTAATATCATAGATACAAATATGAAATTTTGGAACTCGATTGTCACATGTTGTTGTTGTACAAAGACATTGAAAACTGTTCATTGTCATGTCATATAAGGCCAAAAGGTGGCGTTGAAGTCAGTATCTCGTGTGACCGCCCCGGGCAGCAATCACAGCTCTGCATCTCCTCGGCACTGACTGGATAAGTGTACGAATTCTGCGCCATTCTGCTTGTAACGCGTTGGCCAGTTGTGTCTGTGGCGCGTTCTTACGTTGGCGTAAACGTCGATCGAGTTCATCCCAGAGGTGTTCGATTGGGTTGAGATCTGGATCTCTCGACGGCCAGGGCAAGTCGTTGATGTAGGCATTATGAAAGTAGTCTACCGTGACACGAGCTGTATGCGGTGGAGCGTTGTCCTGTTGTCAATGATTGGAAGAAGGTGAGGTTGAAGAATTTGATTCATGTAGCGATTTGCTGTCAAATTTCCCTGAACCACAACCAAGCCAGATCTCGTGGTGTAGGATATGGCCCCCTACACCATGACACTAACCCCACCGAAATTGTCGAATTCACGTATACAATGTGGGGCAAAACGCTTATTTCGACGGCGATAAACACGTTGTCTTCCATCTCGCCGGTGAAGAAGAAATCGTGATTCATCGCTAAACCACACTAGTCTCCAGTTTCTTCAATTCCAAGGCTGTAAGGTATGGCACCAACGCAAGCGTCGCTGTCGATAGATCTGTTGCAAAACACGGACGATAACTGGTCTTCTGGGTCGGATTCCAGCCTCGCGAAGATGGTTCCTGCCAATGTGGTCCGATATCCTCCTCAAACCAGGGATGCGTCCTGCAGTCTCCGTAGCTGTGGCATTGCGATGACGTAGGTGGATCAGTCGAATGTAGCGATCCTCTGCAGGGGTGGTAACTCTTGGTCGGCCGGTTCTCGGGCGGTCTGCAGTGGAATTGAACTGTGTGTATCGGTCCCAAAGGCGGCAAATGATGCTTTGGTGGACGTTGAAGTGGCGTGCAACAGAAGACTGCGATTCCCCTCTGGATACACCCGATGTTCCGATCGGCAGCGCTGAGTCTCGGCATTTTCGAACTTGAAATTTTTTGACAATTGAATGACAAATTATTGGTGTTACTTTTTTTGAAGAGTGTATACGGAAAGCGAGTCTTAAAGGAAGGGCAGCGTGTCCTGTAGAGTGTATATTAGTGGAAGGAGAACATATCCGGTGGAGCGTGTCTCAGAGGGATTACAATGTGTCCTGTAGAGCGTGTCATAGTGGAATGATAACATGTTCTATTAGAGTGTCTTAGATGAAGGACAAGGTGTCCTGTAGAGCGGGTCATAGTAAAAAAAAGAACATATCCGGTGGAGCGTGTCTTACTGGTAAGAGAACATGTCCTGTAAAGCGTGTCTTAGTGGAATCAGGGGCACGAGAGGCCCAGTCGTCTAAGGCGCCGCGATTCGCTGTGCAGAGCTGCGTCCCTTGGGCACGCTAGAAACCTATGATTGTTGGTTCGATTCCCGGTTCGCCCCAATTATGTTTCTAGGTTTGTCAGCACCATACCTGTGCTCTTGGGTTTCACCGAAGTGGTAAACGTCTAAGACCTGCATCCAATTCAGGCTTTCCTCCCACATTGAGCTGACACGCCGCGATATAACTGGAATACTGTCAAAAGCGGCGTTAAACCCGTCACTCACTCTTAGTGGAATCTATTGATCTATTGCCTGACACCCGGGTTTGCTACAAAGAAAACAGCCCATCTGACCATCTGAGTAATGCAGAAGGTTGCAGTGTTGGGGAGTCTTCACATTCTCCGACAAGTTCTGGGTGAGTTTGACTAGGCAGCGCTTCCTGGGAGAAGTCCCATTCCCTGCCTGGGCTGCGTGTGGAGGGGGCAAGGGCCCTGAGCTGATGATGATCCTAACCAGCCTGACTGTCCCAGGGTCTCCCAAACCCTCATTGCTGCATTTTTTATATTTTAATCTGTATCTAATAATAGTGATAATGATAATGATGATGGTGATATAAATTTGATATCTTTGAATAAAACTTACCTTTTGGCAGACGGCATAATCCAAAAAGTACAAAAACCAAGGCAACAGCTTGAAAATATTTCGACAGGATATTCTTCTGAGACATTCTCGGTTAATATCTCGTGGCTTGGGCAGAGAACGCCCTTACACAATCCAGTAATATGCTAACACAATGAAGGTCGAATGAGGTATATATATATATATAGATATATGGGAAGTATATGTGAACCACGGCCCTTCTTTGCAAATCGATGTATCATGGTCGAATATTGATTGTAGAAAATTAGTTGTGGCCAGTGGAAACCTTCATTTAGAGATCTAACGATTATCCAACATTTCCCCGTGTTCTTTAAAGTTTATAAATTATTATAAGTGGGTACAGCCACTCGGTACTCACGTGAAATGTCATTGAAACCACTCGACGGTTGAATTGGATCGTTACTTTTTATAAGACACGATCCCAAACATAAAAAGCTATATGTTCAACGAAAATAAACCTCAATCCATTATTTGTTGTGAAACAGTAAGGTCAAATCTTACGACATGTTGTTGTACGGGCGTTACTACGTATTTCATATCGCACAGGCAGCACATAGAACACGACAAGGGCAGATAACTCGAAACATGCTTGGCATATCTGGCCGAAAGTAGGCAACTGTTACTACAACAACTACTACTACTGCTGCTGTTGATACCACTAATACTTCTACCGACGGTATCAAATAGCACGCACGCGCACACACACACTATCACCATCACAACCACAACCGTTACTACTACTACTACTACTACTACTACTACTACTACTGCTGCTGCTGCTACTACAACTACTACTACTACAACAACAACTACTACTACAACAACAACAACTACTACTACTAGTACTACTACAACTACTACTACTACTACTACTACAACTACTACTACTACTGCTGCTGCTGCTGCTACAACTACTACTACTACTACTACAACTACTACTACTACAACAACAACTACTACTACTACTACAACTACTACTACGACTACGACTACTACTGCTGCTGCTACTACTACTACAACTACTACTACAACTACTACTACTACTACTACTACAACTACTACTACTACTGCTGCTGCTGCTGCTACAACTACTACTACTACTACTACAACTACTACTACTACAACAACTACTACTACGACTACGACTACTACTGCTGCTGCTACTACTACTACAACTACTACTACAACTACCACTACTACTACTACTACTACTACTACTATTACTACCTACCTAACCCCCATCACAACCACTGGCATATCCCTACGTTTGTGTAGCCCTGTTTAGCATTAAAACAAGACTGGTTCAAGTCGTTCAACTTTTATGTACACTGACGGACAGAAGAAACTTTACCAATATAAAAATGAAATTGCAAATATTAAAAACACAAATTTAAACAAAATCAATGCAAAACACATCGTCCAAACACAACAATGCTCTATGAGGCTCGGCTTTAAATGGATGACATTCTTCGTCCGATTGTCCTACAATTTCTTTTCTACAAGAGATGCCACGTAGTGTTCGTGGTGAGGAGGGAAGCAGTTGCCCCCACCCCCCACCCCCCACCCCCCCCACCCCCCTGTTTTTTTTTTTTTTTGAATCATGAAAATACAAGTTCGGGACAAGTGATACTTGTACAAATATTTTGCCCCCCTGTCAAAAAAAACTACGGCCTTGCAACGCCAGACCCCATACAGCCCGCCCGAATCATACAGAACTTCCTTGCAGCCAACTACGTCAACGTGTTGCCGTGGCCTGCGCACGCTCCCCAGACATGTCCCCAATAGAACACCTCTGGGATGTCATGGGTCGTCGTTTTCGACAGTAGTCAGGCCCTCAAAAAGAATGGCGACGTTTCCAACGTGACGTCACCAGACGACTGACTTTTTGTGTGCGCCGGAGAGTTTTAGCGTGTCTTGTCGCCCGCTATTAACTGATGTGTCTTTGAACTTGAGCGATTTTAGACGTGTGTGCCCTTTGTCCATTACGCTAAAAGCATGTTTTTGCTTTCCCACCTCAATTAGGGCAACTGTCATGCCAATATCAGACTGTATGACTGTCATTATACATGTTGATTTCGTTAACATTTGATCTTTTCAATACATTTTACGTCATGCATCTATCTTTTGTGGTATTTAAACTAGAGTGATTTAAAATTATGGTAAAGTTCTTTTGGCCGTCCGTTAAAATTATTCTGACAGTTGATGGATACCTTTATAACATTGGAACCATGTCCTTGTTCAACCCAAGGCACTACCAATTACAATGTTTACTGCAAAAAAAACAAACCTTAAAAGAACTAATAAAATAAATTAAGTTTAAATAAACTATAACAAATGTTATATATGGGAGAATACTTTCTCAGTAAAGTACATAGTCTCGTACTTTTTGGGGTTGACTCCCGTCCCGTTAAATAAACTAATGACACAACGTAATTCGATTTCCTACCTGATTAACGACATCGAAAGTGTTCTAGTACGATAGATCAAACATAAGTATTTACGATATGACATTACTGAAATACTGTTCAAAGCAGCGTTAAACCAACTGATTCACCCACTTAGGTTTGGCTGATCTGCGTCAGAGCTGATGTGAAGTGAAGCGGTCCTTAAAAGTTTCCCGGTGTAAAATTATTTTTAAATTTCTGGATTAAAATATTTCTTTTCAAATACACCAAAACATTATTTTATAATTATAGGACCCATGAAGATCCGGGGTAAAATAGATCTTCAGCAACCCATGCTTGCCGTAAAAGGCGACTATGTCTGTCGTAAAAGGCGACTAATGGGATCGGGTGGTCAGGCTCGCTGACTTGGTTGATGCATGTCATTGATCCCACATTGCGAGGATCGATGCTCATGTTATCAAATAGACTGGATTATTTACAGACCGCCGTCATATATCTGGAATGTTGCTGAGTGCGGTGTTAAACAACAAACCAACCAACCAATCATAATTATAGAGGAAACATAATGTAATGAACGTGTTTTGGGAGTGCCAACGCAAGAGTTTTCAAGAATGGATTCCTGGTTAGAATAAACTGCAGGCAAAAGAGAGTACACACCCACGTTTGATGGATGCTGATAGTGAAACAATCAAGGAATGGTTATTCTGTGGTGATGTATTTGATACGGGTATCGAAGCTTGGATCTTAAATTTTCAGTGTTTCGGCGACTGTTTTCAGCCTACTCACGTTTTGATAACGATCGCAATTTTTTGGACAAATCAAATTTTCAAGGGAACACTTTTTTGACGTCAGTTTACCATAGTCCCCATGTTGATTAAGGGTGAGACCAGATCCCCTTTGCTTGTCGTAAGAGGCGACTAATGGATCGGGAGGTCAGACTCGGTGACATGGTTGCGTCTCATCGCAAACCGACAAATAACCTTGCCGAGTATTTTTTAAATATATTTTTTAACCCGAGGTTTAAATGTTTTTTTTTATTAACTTTATTCAACTTTTGTGAATTTGGGGTCAGCAAAATAAACAATAAAAATGAACGCCTTAAGACATTTACACAACACCATGTATTGGCGAGCTAACTGAAGACATCGGCTATCTACTCTGATTATATTGTACCACCTGATGACACTATTCTACGAGGATTATATTGCTGAATTTAATCCAAAACCTTTGTGAAGCCGACGCCCACAAAGAACAATACGTTTGTTTGTCCAGTTGGGAATGTGACCAGCTGCCCTGTAGACTACTGTCAATCAGTCAATCAATCAATTCAATCAATCAATATTTATGTATTTTATGACGTTTATACACGATACCATTGTATCCTCTACATACAACGCTCCACCTAAAATCTTTAAGGAACAAATTCAGGTATATGTACAATACGCTTTTATTTGTAACATCAAAATGCTAATGGAATGTTTCGAAAACATTTACCTGGAGCTGAAGTAATTATTTCATACTACCATGAACTTTAACAATTACTTCAGAATAGATAGGGGGCACAAGTGGCCCAGTCGTCTAAGGCGCCGCGATTCGCTGTGCAGAGCTGCGTCCCTTGGGCAAGCCAGAAATCTATGATTGTGGGTTCGAATCCTGGTTCGCCCCGAACCTAAGTTTCTAGGTTTGTCAGCACCATACCCGTGCTAGTAGGCTTCACCGAAGTGGTAAACGTCTGAGACCTGCATTACTTCGGGCTTTCCCCCCACATTAAGCTGACACGCCGCAACATACCTGGAATAGTGTTAAAAGCGGCGCTGATCCCAACTCACCCACTCAGAATATATACTCCTTTGTTCGAGAAGGTTTGTGTGTTACATTCGGTACACTTGTCCATACTGTTTATAAACATTCATTCACGGCACGATTCCCATACGCACTCACGCACACTGCACAACGCACTCAATCGCCCCCAAATGCCTAAAATCAAATAAAGCATAAATCTGAATCTACACTATGTGTGTTCGGATATCAGTATTCGAGTGACCTGAGTGAACCGAGGTTAGGGACCAGTTTTAAAGTTCGCTGTCGAATAAAAATCTTAATTCCTCAAGTTTAGAGGTGAAAATTGTGATAATAATCGAACCAAACATAATCCACCAGTTCATAAAATCGACTTGTCCAACATTGCCGAGGTCGAATTGTATTCAGGGAGTCATCATTAAATAAATGCTGATAAATATTTCAAAGATTATATATTTTATTAAAATCCTTAAAGAGGCTGTACAAAATGTTGCCCCTCATGGTTTATTCTCCCTGCAGTGTTTTATTGTACGATAAACAACGACCACGACTCGTTTATTTCTTAAACACAACACAAAAATACCATTGTTATAAAGGAAGAGAAATTATGGATGTCAACTTCTTGGATGTCTCGTGTTGGCTTCTACTGTCTTTTGAAAATCACCCATCCGCAAGAAGCGACTAACGGGATCGGGTCGTCAGGCTCGCTGACTTGGTTGATGCATGCCATGGATCCCGATTGCGCGGATCAATGCTCATGATATCAATCACTGGATTGTCTGGTCCAGACTCGATTATTTACAGACCGCCGTCATATAGCTGGAATATTGCTGAGTGCGGCGTTAAACAACAAATAAACAAACAATAATCACCCATCAGATAATATCTGTTGGTCTCCCTTGTTAGTTTCCATCTTTTGTTATCTTATTACTTTTGTTGTCCTTACATGTACATATATATGCTCTCTGCCTCATAGCATTCATTCACCTGTTGACGGAGTAAGCATATACTCCGATACGTTGTGTTCCTCATAATTAAAAAAGGTGACATCCATAAATTCTCTTCCTCATGTGTATCACTTTTAAATGCCATTCAAAGACCAGAATGTTATTACTTGTGCATATTCTCAGTGGTCTAGTGGTAGAGTGTCCGCCCGGAGAGCGGAAGGTCCGGGGTTTGATCCTCGGCCGCGTCATACCAAAAGTCGTTAAAAGATGGTACTTGTTGTTACCCTGTCTTGCGCTCGGCATTAAGGGGCTAAAACAAGGACTGGTCGGCTCGGAGTCAGTATACTGTGTCTGAGTGGGGTATCCATGTTAAACTGCGGCATGGTATCTCAGTGTGCTAGCACTATAAATCGGCTACAGTCCGGATTAGTACAAGCAGCCACAAACACATGTGCATGTCGCTATATAAGTGCAATAATCTTGGACGCGACGTTAAACCCCATTTCACCTCACCTCTCAGGCGATTTAGAATATGTGTCCAGTACCTCATGCATCTCGCATGAGACTGGGCGGTGTGGTAGCGTTAGTGGTTAAAGCGTGCACTCGTCAAGCAGAATGCCTAGGTTCGATTGACTGCAGTGTGTAAAGGTCATTTCTAGTGCCCCCCCCCCCCCCCCCCTTCCCCCCCGATATTGCTGGGATCACTTATTCATCGTTCTGTGGGCGGATGCGTAATCAGAGACTTGGAGATCGCCAGAAATACCTGTACTTTCTCATGACCTTCGCTAACGCACCATGCCATTGATTAAAGGCACCCTCGAGTGTGTTCATGTAGTGTTCTACTAGTGTTCTACTAGTGTTCAACGAGTGTTCATGTGGTTGTGTTAGACATTAGCGTGTGTATAGATATGTGTTCTCTTCATCAACTGCACGGTATATCAGATCATGACAGCGGCGATTTACATCCTGAAAGTTAATTATATTGAGCTTTTTGGAAAAGTTTCCGTATATTTGGTCTCAATTCTTTATTTTTTCTCTTATCATCGTCCTGTGAAATTGTTAAAAATGTATTCGGATTAACTAACCATGGATAGATAGTATTTCGTCATTGACAGTTACACCACGATGAATAGGCTTCGTCACCCCCTGTTACCAAGGACCCGTGGCTTTCCGGGCAAGTTAAAAGTCCCCCTGCAACCTATACTGGGCGTAAGAGGCGAGTAGCTGGATCGGGTGGTCAGGCTTGGTGACTTATTGGATTGCTGGTTATCGTATCCGCACTGATGTGATTGATGCTCATGATGTCAATCACTGGATCGTCTGGTCCTGACTTGATCATTTACAGCCCCTCGGCATACAGCTGGAATATTGCTGAGTGCGGCGATAAACAAACAAACAAACAAACAAATTGTTAACATAAGATTGAAATTGAACTTTTCCTGTGATCCTGAGAAAGCGTGTCATGGACATAACGTGGTGGAGCCGCGCACTATAAAGTGGCTTTTTGTTAAAGTTTGTTCAGGAAAATATAACATTTTAGAATCCTCGTTATCGACTACTAGAGTCTCTGCCTACATCGATCGATATGAGACACCGATCAAAACCGTCGGAGCAGGATCAAATAGTGTGGGCAAGGTTCCATCTGAAAATGCTTCCCAGACGTTTTTGGTCTCTCGTGGACTCCCCTTTCCAATAAATACTCATGCGATTAAAACTTGGATATGATTATTTTAATTTTCTGTTATCGACAAAAAGCATGTACCTTTTAACCAAAGCATTCTCATTAAAGATGTTGATATCGTGCTCTCAAGTGAGTGAGTGAGTGAGTGAGTGAGTGAGTGAGGTTTAACGCTTCTTTAAACTGTGTGGCAGTTTCGGCGTGTCACCTCAATGTTGAAAGAAAACCCGAAGTGATGCAGGTCTCAGACGTTTCCCACTTTGGTGAAACCAACGAGCGGGTATGGTGCTGACAAACCTAACATCATAATGGACCCGTGAAGATCTGGGTTTGAATTGGTCTTCAGCAACCCATGCTCGTGGTAAGACATGACTAACGGGATCGGGTGGTCAAATTCTTGGCAACATATCCTAATGGTGTAGTAGATCGATGACCTTGATGTCAATCACTGGATTGTCTAGTCCAGACTCGAGTATTTACTGACCGTCTGGAATATTGCTAAGAGCGGCGTTAAATAACAACCCCTACAAAAAACAAAACCGCAACAGGAGGTCCTGCCAAGTAGGTAGTTACACATTCGGCTATCTAGTCTCAATGTGATCATGATGGATATCAGTCAAGTTTTCATTTGTCAAAAGCAATATATACCGATATACATGTGCATATTTTCATGAAGATCCGGGTTAGAATAGGTCTCCAGCAACCTATGCTTGTCGTAAAAGGCGGCTATGCTTGTTCAACGGTGAATAGTGAGTGAGTGAGTGAGTGAGTGAGTTGGGTTTAACGCCGCTTTTAACAGTATTCCAGTTATATCGCGGCGTGTCAGCTTAATGTGGGAGGAAAGTGGTGCAGGTCTCAGACGTTTATCACTTTGGTGAAACCCACGAGCACGGGTATGGTGCTGACAAACCTAGAAACATAATCGGGGCGAACCGGGATTCGAACCCACAATGATAGGTTTCTGGCGTGCCCAAGGGACGCAACTCTGCACAGCGAATCGCGGCGCCTTAGACGACTGGGCCACCCGTGCCCCCTCAACGGTGAACAGAACCACGGGCAAAAACTCTATCAGCTAGACGATGGAGGCGGTCCGTCTGTGAGTAGGCAATGACAACAGAACACGCAAGTTTATAGTTTAGGTTTTCTTAAATCTATCTCTACATGCCACAGTTGTCTCAGAAGGTTATGAACACAACAGTTGATCTCTTCTGTCGTTCGTGAAGACGTCGACAACGACATCTAACGTAACATCAGTGTTACAGAATATACGTCCATGTAACGAAGTATTAAGTTTTGCGAAGACATAATAACAGAAACGATAAGAGTAGATTCAACAACAAATGAAATAAATAAAATTAATAATTCAACTGACATAAAACATCAATTTGCGTCACATCATTTTATGCTTTGAACGTTTCAACGTTCAAGGTAAAGTCCAGGTTTTAAAATGGCATGGTAGATGTCTGGAAAGAGAGGTTAATCCGTCCATCAAGGCAGTCGTCATCAGTTCCTGTTGTGGACGGAAGTCACATCTGAGCGACTTGGAAGGCACCGGAAGTTGTCATGTTTACCGCCATGTTTGTCTGCAATGTGAAGATTATTGCTGATTACGACATTTTAACTGTGACAACATTGGCCGTGTTTCCCTTCAATCCATATAGATCAGACAGTATATTGTGAGTGCTAAGGAGCTAAGAGACTATTTAAAGGGGACTGTATCAGGAATAGTTCTAATGACGTAAGATCTGTCATTCAAAAGAACCCAAGGAGCGGACTTCTGTCGACCGGAGATGTATTGTATCTATGTATACCTCCACAAGTCTGCTTTAATATTGATAGTTCTAATGGAGAGTATATACTGGTGGAGAAGGTAGGAAACACAACCCATTATAGCCGAGGTTGTTAACTGCCATTGATGGAAAGTTGTTTGTTTGTTTGTTTAACACCGCAAATGAACTAGTGGTTGTTTGTTTATTGTTTAACGCCGCAATCAGCATTTCCTGCTATATGACGGCGGTTTGTAATTACACGAGTCTGGACCACGCAAGCCAGTTACTAACATCATGAGCATCGATCTACGCAATTGGGATACGATGACATGCATCAACCAAGTCAGCAAGCCTGACCACCCGATCCTGTTAGTCGCCTCTTATGACAAACATGGGTTGCTGAAGACCGTGAAGATCTGGGTAGAATTGGTCTTCAGCAACCAATGCTTGCCGTAAGAGGCGACTAGGCTTGTCGTAAGAGGCGACTAACGGGATCGGGTGGTCAGGATCGCTGACTTGGTTGATGCATGCTAACGTATCCCAAATTCGTATATCGATGCTCATGATGCTGGAATATTTCTGAGTGCGGCGTTAAACAACAAACAAACAAACTAACCCGAATCACATAACAATATTATTGTAGCAGGGGTAAATAACATGTATGTTAAATTTTGGGTCAAGGTGTTCAGGCATTACCATGGGCACAATTTGTGTTCCCATTCTCCCTGATCTTTTCCTTTATGCATCTGAATCCAAATTTAGGTAAAATGGCCAATTCCCTTCCACTCATTTGCCCACCTGGGCTAGAATGAAAGAGACCATTGAAACCGCATCATCTGTTTTATATATAGATGTATGTTTAAAGAATACCAACACACTCTCCACCAAACTGTATGACAACAGGGAGAACTTCAACGTTCCAATAGCCCCCTTTAAAGCAGCTACAACCTGTGGTGCCTATATGTTTCCACTTTTGAATCCAGCATGCTCTTTCTATGAAGATTTCAAAGAGTGTCATACGGCTCTTGCTCAAAAGTTGTTTGATCAGGGTTAAACTTTCCAAAGACTCATTTAAGCTTTCAAAATGTTTTATGGCAGACATGTTAAGGAAAAATCCAAACTTGACGTATCAGTTGACAAAAAAGATGTCCTTACCATTTCGCTATTTTGACTTGTACCATGTTCACGTGTGTTTTCAGATGAACAATTGACTTGCCTTTGCATGTGTTTGTGAAGAGTGCCACCGGTGGGGCAGGATTTCAGGACCACCTGGTATCCTCACTGTTTGATAGTGACTCACAAACACATGCCCACGAAAGGAGATATTTCTTAAGCGCATGGCGACGGGTTTTGTCGCATTAATTACAGATGCTGTTGAAAGGAACACATCACATTGTAGCAGGGATTGGTTACTGCTGCTGATGGTGGAAAGAACATACCTCATTTGGAATCATCTGCGCCGAAAGATGACGATAAGTCACAGTTCCGCAGCCGCTCTGCTTCTATCTGTCGAAAACGAGACAAAGGTAATACATCTTCATATCCCAAACACAGATAGATTGGTGCAATCGTCATGTCTAGTCTCCCTGCAAACCCTTAAATAATGATAACCCTGACACTGTGACGATCTTTTAACAATATTCCAGTTATATCACGGAGTGTCAGCTTAATGTGGGAGGAAAGCCCGAAGTGATGCAGGTCTCAGACGTTTACCACTTCGGTGAAACCCACGAGCACGTTTATGGTGCTGACAAATCAAGAAACATAATCGGGTCGAACCGGGATTCGAACCCACATTTATAGGTTTCTGGCGTGCCCAAGGGACGCAACTCTGCCCAGCGAATTGCAGCGCCTTGGACGACTGGGCCAGCCGTGCCCCCCTGAAACTCTGATAAACTTGACACTATTGCTGCCTAAACTCTACATCATGTCAAAGTACCCTTCATCGTCAAGGTGATTGTTGGGAAGCCTACTGATTCAAACGTTGATTGTCACGCCGAATGACCAAGTTCCATACTCCACAAGCGTGAAGCCCAGTTCTGATTCGCCATTAGATTTTGAATAATTTTACTCAATATTATATTTCAGCCAACGCGATTGAATATTAAATGCAGATGATTTTGACCTTTTCCAATTCCAGCTTAAACGCGAAGGCGATGAAAGAGCGAGATATTACCATACCAAGTATATTTTATAGCGATGTTACATTTTTGACATTCCCAACCGTGAACTAATCAGACTTCAAATGTTAATGTCGTTGTTTGTGTAAGTAAGACAAATTGAACTTTAAAAGTAATTATGTAACAGCTAAATGTGAAACAAATGTTTCTTATTCATCAAAACAAATCCAAAGAACTCTGGCAGCGGAAGCAGCGTCATAAAGTCTATCAATTGTGACGTCACAATGCTTATTGCGTCAGACACACAATGTCTACGCTACAGCCTTGTCAATTTCATTATGCCATGTCACTCATCACTGAAATGTGCAGGTGCATTCTGAGAATTCATATCCTGGCTGAGCACGAACTGTGTTCATTACATTTGCATACACATAGATAATTGATTGGATATTGAGAACGATCAAGGTTAACCTGGTAGTGTCTGGCGAATGTTATTGTAGAATTGACAGGTCCCTGTAAATATTTGATAATGTGAAACAAGACTGTTAATACAATACTCTGTCATCGATATAAGGTATTAATGAGGTCGATAATCAGTTACCAATACCAGATCAATAAGACAGGGAGTAGGTTTTGTAGAAATATATGGCGTGGAAAGACTTGAAGTGCTTTATGAAGAATATATAGCACTTAATTCGAAAGTGTTCAGAGGACGGGGAACTGGATGGTTAACGAGTAGATGAATGTCGGAATATTTCCTACTCACAAAACCGTCATATTTATTCCTGATGAGTCCAAGAATGCACTGTCATTCTTTCATAAACAACTTTCACTGTAAGCGTACATTAGCCCATAGGATGTGTATGGTGTTGTATTATATTCTAGTAGTTTCTCGTCACAAGCAAAACCCGGTTCAATTGCCTACGTGTTTATATGTGTGAAGCACATCGTCATATTGCTAGAATATTAGAATCGAGTAAAACTACACTCACTCACTCTGGATACAGGAGGTGAGGTGAGGTGAGGTGAGGTGAGGTGAGGTGAGGTGAGGTGAAATGAGTTTTAACGTCGCGTCCAAGTTTATTGCACTTACATAACGAAGGTGCATGCACATGTGTGTGTGTGTGTGTGTGTGTTTGTGTGTGTGTGTGTGTGTGGCTGCTCGAACTAGTCCGGACTGATGCCGATTTTATAGTGCAAGCCCAGTGAGATTTCATGCCGCATTTTAACACGAATACCCCACTCAGACACAGTATACTGACTCCGAGCCGACCAGTCCTTGTTTTAGACCCTTAATGCCGAGCGCCAGACAGGGTAACAACAAATACCATCTTTTAACGTCTTTTGGTATGACGCGGCCGGGGATCGAACCCAGGACCTTCCTCTCTCCGGGTGGATGCTCTACCACTAGACCATGGATACAGAAGAATCGCCAGTATTCACTAACACGTTTTGATCGAAAGTGGAAATGCAAGACCGCGACGCGAAAGTATCAAGCAAGCCTAGGCGATGATATAAACATTCGCATTAAAAGTAACACAGAAAACGTTCAGTCTACATATATTCTGAAACATATTCATAGTTTCCTTGGTAGGAATACATGGTAATGTAAAATCATATGTACTTGGCATTTCGAAGGAGGGTTGCTTCTCGGTAATCGTTCTTGATAAATAATTTTGTTTTCTGAATACTTACAAAATGGGAGAAAGCAAGAACATTTCGAGAAGGTATTCATATTTTCGCCATTCGAGTTATCAGGACTATATGTATAGTTAATTATCGCCAAGCGAGTAAGTGAGTGTTTTATGAGTGAGTGAGTTTTAACAGTATTCCAGTTATATCAAGGCGTGTCAGCTTAATGTGGGAGGAAAGCCCGAAGTGAAGCAGGTCTCAGACGTTTACCACTTCAGTGAAACCTACGAGCACGGGTATGGTGCTGACAAACTTAGAAACATAAACGGGGCGAACCGGGATTCGAACCCAAAATCATAGGTTTCTGGCGTGGCCAAGGGACGAAACTCTGCACAGCGAATCGTTGCGCTTTGGACGACTGGGCGGTGAAAGGTGAAATTGGGTTTAACGTCGCGTCCAAGATTATTGCACTTATATAGCGACGTGCATATACGTGCGTGTGTTTGTGTGGCTGCTTGTACTAGTCCGGACTGATGCCGATGTATAGTGCTAGCTCACTTAGATATACTGCTGCAGTTTAACATAGATACCCCACTCAGACACAGTATACTGACTCCGAAAAATGGGCTTCACACATTATACCAATGTCGGGAATCGAACCCGGGTTTTCGGCGTGATGAGCGAACGCTTAACCTATAGGCGACCCGACTGCCCCACTTTTAACGAAGGAGAGCATGACAATTATATAAACAAAACGTCAACGCCAAATAACAACCAGTCTCGATTATCCGCCGAAACACCGGGCATAATCAACCGGGAGTAAAAGGAAAAATAGCGGTGAAATCTACATGCATGGACTCCCGAAAACCAGCGACATCAGGTACTCGCGAAAAGGGTAAGTATGTTGTCCTACCGGTAGCATCCGCCACTCAAACAATCTGCATAAAAAAAGTAAGAATTTGTGGCCTGACGCCACACAACAGTAATCCTGCCATGCGATGGCGGCCTGTCAACAAACCAGGCCATCAAGTGATGGACCAGGCAATCCAGTCATAGGATAGCGTATTTACTGATTCTGTTTAAGTATTGAAAATTAAACACCTTGGATACTGGGCAAGACAAATCATTGGCAGATAGCATGAGCAACGACTCAAGTCGTCGGGGTGAATGACGCAACCAGCCATGTCACACATGGTAACCACTCGATCATCAATGTGATCTTATCTTATCGCTCTCCGGGCGGACGCTCTACCACTTTTATTGATCTTATAAAGCGACGTGCATGTACGTGTGTGTGGCTGCTTGTACTAGTTTGGACCAATGCCGCTTTTATAGTGCTAAGCTATTGTGATACCATGCCGAGGTTCAACAAGGATATTCCACCCAGACACATTACACAGACCGATCCTTGATTTATCATCCCAAACCGGCTTCCACAGGGGATATCGCTGATAAAAGTGGAAAAAATCCTCGGCAAGCCTCTGAGTTTTCCCACTTTTATCAACTTGTGTTGATATATTTGATATCAAAAGACACGAGGGTGAGATTCTCTATTTATTTATACCGAGAGCCAGACAGGTCAAAAATTAATAGCGGCTTTAAACAAATTCTGGAATGACGAGGCCGGGGATCGAACCTGCGCACCCCGGACAGGCGGTCTATCCACGGCACCACGTCAGCGGTCGCTTCTATGTGGAAACTATTTGAGTCATATGCCGATTTCAAACGACCAAATACAATAACACGTGTTCAGAAAGACTCAGTTCGTATTAAATACTACCTTTGCAAGTCTTGAGATGAGGAGAGCCACATACGGGTCCACTCGGCAGGGTCCGGATAGATCGGGGGGAGTGAACATACGCTTACCAACCCCCGCCCCTCCCCAGCCATTTGTCTGTGCCCACTGAGCTTGGGACGGTCTGAAGTCTTGCACCACCAGCAGGGACGCCAGTAACAGCACGGCAACTTTGTACACGGCGCCGAAGTTAGCTGAAACAACAGAGACACAGCATATAGAGAAAGTTGACTTAGAGTTATTGCAGAACGCATTTACAGTATTGATTGGCTGATAGCATATGTTAAGAAGGATTAACGTTTATGCTAAGCTGGCGCTTGAGTAGTTTTTGTAGCGTTTTTTAACCTTGTAATAACGTCATTTGGATTTGGAAATTCTTATTTTCTGCCCAAGTAAATAATGTAGAGAATGTATGACGCGCAGTTTCTAAAAGTTTTAAAAAGATTAAATACGACTGCTGCTTGCACTAGACAGACTCCTGGTCGTGTCAGCTTAATTATTATGTAAATTTAATCCTACATCGTTTTTGCACATCCTCTTAAATATACTTTCAGATAATGTTATTTGATTGTTCTTTAGGTATATTCTAGATTCACTCCGATGTGGAGACGACGGTATCTTGCCGTCATCCACTCAAGGACGAAGGGTTTCAGAAAACATTCAGTGATTCATAATCAGAGATGTCAAGTCCATGCTTGCTTCTGATTTAACAGGGCAATCGTGTTCATTTGGAGAAACCGATCTTTATTTTCAAGAAAACTCAACAGAAAATGGCCGTTTTTGATTTGTCTAGACTATGCTTATCTGACCATGGCAGTAACATTTAGTATAAAGGCCGTTGGCACTGTTGGTACAAGATGGTGCTAGACGGTGCAAGTTTGAGTGATTTTTTATTTACGTTGCTTTGGACAGTATTCAATTTATATCACGGCGTGTCAGTTTGATGTGGGAGGAAAGCCCGAAGTGACGCAGGTCACAGACGTTTATTACTTTGGTGAAACCCACGGGCAAGGGTGTGGTGCTGACCACCCTCGACTCGAACATAATCAGGTAGACCGAGGCTCGAATCCACGACCATGGATTTCTGACGTGCCCAAAGGACGCAACACTGCACAGCAGATTGCGGCGCCTTAGACGACTGCCCCCCACCCCCAATTTGTTTTGAAAAGAGGGAATGGGAACAATATGTTTAAGAGATCACAATGAATACATTACAGGATTGACTTCTCTGTAATGCAACTTTACGGTCACCTGCTAAATACGGATTTTCAGGTACACATATTTTTAAATCTAAACATTTATTTTAATTCGTATTTTGCCCTACGGGTTTGGAAAGCTCTGTAATCTCAATAATTAAAACAGGCCTTACTTGTTACAGGAGACAAGAGTGTCATAGGAGAGACGTTCATGCTGGCCATGATATGTGGATGGAAATCACGTCAGTTGACGGTTCTACCTTTTTATTTTACCGTTACAGACATTTAAAATAAAACAAAACAACAACCAACAAACTTAAATGCACGAGGCAGTATTGATTCACACTGCATGATTTTATATATAACAGTTTCAAGCGATAAGGTAACGATATTATTTTGTATCCCGCACGTGTAACACTGCGGGCCGCCGCAATGGATTTGAACAAAATTACGAAATTGTATGAAAGTTAACTCTTTTTCAGCATTTACAGAAATTTAGCAATCTGTTGAAAAGTCGCGGATAGAATGAGTGTTGTACTTGAAAAAACAAAAATTGTCCTCATCTTGTTTGGAACTGCCGACGATTACGATTCATTGAAACTTGGCCATCTTTAAGCTATTCCAATTTTCTTAAAGTGTTCGTTCATTGGAGAGCAATCATCATGGGTTCACATTATTCCAAACTTATAAACTACGATGCCCTCGCATCAGGACCGAAACAGGGGTTCAAGTACTGGGAAATAGGAAAACAGTCAAAGCATGAGGAAGACATAACGTAGACAACATAAAATCTATCGGTATTGTTGTGAAGATGTGTAAGTTACAAATTGGGATTAGGTTACAAACTAGCTTTGACTTTTTTTCTCAAAACTTTGATTAATTTGCTTAAAAAATATAGTTTGAATGAAAATACTATACATAAAATACTATTACACTGCTAATTATTCAGTTGATACGCACGCGATTTAGATGTAAAACATGTTTATACATTTTTTGAATTGGCAAAATGAATTCTTAGAACTTATTCAAAATTGTTTATTTTCAAATTTATAAACTTTATAGTGGCCAAAAATAAGACACAACTACTTGTCCTGCTATGTGTTCCGCATGTGCTATTATATATATAACTTGGTCAAATTGAGGACTGATTTTGAATTGCCTTATTCCAATTTGTTTTTAAACTTTATGACAGCAAGATAATATCAAACAGTTGCTGTTACATTATGCATTTAAAATAATTCTACGTCTTGGGTCAAATAAGACTTTGTTGGAATAACTTTTTAAAACTAGTTTATAACTGCCAAATTCAAGAAAATCGATAAACTAAATGATACAAAGTCTTATCACATTGTCCCATTAATGCTAATGCCAATTTATATATACAAGAGAGAAAAACGAAAATATATTTCAGAACTAACCTACCAAATTAAGGAAATAAATGGATTTGAACTGAAGTCGTAAAAACAAAAAAACCTTCAAAGTTCGCCGAACAGGATGAGAAAGAGGGAAAGCAACTTACCCATAACGCGGAGTCTGATGGGGCCGTCCAAACGGGTACTCCTCTCTTGAAGTCTGTGGGCTCGCAGTTTAATATCAGGCCATTTAAGTCAGGCGACTGATGAAGTGCCATCTCAATAATTCATCACCTTGTCTATAATCGTCGTTGAGAGCAACGTTGCACGTCAACGTTTCAACTCCACCGCCTTTGCCCACGACGTCACAACGAGGTCAAAGAAGACGATGAAACAAGGAATTTGATGGTAACAAATGGCCAACTGACAAGATTAATTCAACAGGCCTTCTTGCTATGAGTGCTAATTATTTTAGCTTACTGATTCGATGGTGATTATTAGGTGTTGTCCCTGTGGTAGGTGGCCATGTGCTTTTTGGTCGTACATGGGTGGGTTGATTAATTGGGAAATGAATTTGAGGAAAAACTACTCCCACACGTTGCTGCAAGATGTTGTGCACTTGTTCACTCGGATGCGGTGCTGTTTAACACGTGGGATCCTGTAGCGGATGAATATATTCTCTGTAACCGATATCACCATACATTGTATGAATTGTGGCTCAAATGAAAATGAACTCATTAAAGGGAATGCCACGTGCTTTATCATGATCAAATCCATCACGTTAACCTAACACCTTTTGAAAATATCTACATACGACATTGATCTCATTTTGACAATTGTCCAAGCAACCACCGATACATCTTAGGTGTAGTTGGTATAAATAAAAGCGACAAAAACCCTTTCCATATTCATAAGAAACCTCTGCCAGAGTCGATTGTACGATTCCGACTTTATCATGAGCGTGTGTTTATGAATCGCTATCAAATAGTGATGATACCAGGTTTGCGAAAAGGTGAACGTATCCTGCCCCACCGGTTGCATCCGTCACAAACACTTGCAAAGGCAAGTCAATTTTTCACTTGAAATAAAAGGCCTAAAGATATTATACGGACTGATAGAGGCTGGTGTATTGTGGAGTACCTACGCAAATATTTTGTCTTTAAAGGGTCATGACTTCCTCTCTCTAGCCTTGCTCCAAGGCTGTACTGAAAGAAAAGTCCATGGATGTGTAGTAATTTTATCCTCCCAATAGGCAAGTCTAGATCTAAGGACTCCAGTCTCTTAGAGGGAAAATTTCTTATTACTTACATAATCTAGAAATTATGGTTTGAATCCCAAAACAAACACATTCAAGGGCAAGTGAAATGTTCCACTGAAAACAAACACATTCAAGGGCAAGTGAAATGTTCCACTGAAAACAAACACATTCAAGGGCAAGTGAAATGTTCCACTGAAAACAAACACATTCAAGGGCAAGTGAAATGTTCCACTGAAAACAAACACATTCAAGGGCAAGTGAAATGTTCCACTGAAAACAAACACGGGAACATATGGTACATGACAAAACAGGGAATTGCATCGGACATAAGTTTTGTCACAGGAACACTGTTCCTCCAGTACTGGGCTAATTCATATGATGCAAGGAAGCAGGAAACTACTGAAAGGATGTTTACAAAACTATTGTTGTGAAACAAATGTAAGCAAAAAAGAAACATTTCCATAATCATAATTAGGAGCGACAAAACTAATAAAAAACACAAGATTATATAATGATGATATCAGGTGCCCTACCCGACCAGTGGTACCCGTAACAAACACATGCAAGTGCTCGTCAATTGTTCATCTGAGAAAAAGCACTTTAATATACGGTACAAGACGAAATAGCGAGCTGATGGTCAACTTTGGAAATTTCCTCCAAATGTCTAACAATAGGTGCAAAAAGATAATTGATATTAGCATTAAAATATGTTTCACTTTGTAAACAAAACTAAATATGTTTTGTAAGAAATATAATACAGGACACGATTTAAAAAAAATATATCTATTTAATATGGAAATATATAGAGGTGCTTAACTCTTTTTCGGGTGTAATATTTCAGACTCAATAATCACCCTCAACAAATGTATAACCCATCTATGTCAAAAGGTCATGTATTTATCGTTGGTCAAACGTGGTATGAATCATACATGCAGCAATATGTCGTTTACATTATTGGTTTCAGAGACAACTGTGGTCTGACGACTCATCTTCCGTCTATCAATAATTAATCAATAGAGATGTCTTTGTTGTATGAACTAATAAACCAATATTAGAATTCAATCAGAGTTGTTCTCTTTTCATCACAGAATATTCAGAATGTCTAAACCGTATAGTTTGGTGACTAGGTCGTCTCTCTTAACCTCCATCTCGTGTTATTCCGTAAAGATTCCGTGGGGATTCCTTGTCAGAATCGGTCCCCGGTAACCAATGCTTGTCGCACGAAGAGATTAACCTGACCGGTAGTCAGCTCTTCAAATTGCTCCATGGCGCCACATCGAGGTTCGACAGCGTGGAGCTCTTACTATCAATCACTGTGTGCGTTTGATTAATAAAACCCGAGTTAAGTTGAGTCAGCTGAGGAAATGCATTTCTGACCACCAGGGTTGATCAAAGTGAATAAGACGGACAAGCATACCTTAGGGCGGAAGACGAAACCCCCTGCATAAAATACAACCTCAGATGCAAATCGTGTAATGCCAGAGGGCTGCCAGAAGGAGAAAGACTACCGTCATGTGTATTGCTGTGTAAGACATCTATGAGAGGTTATCAAGTGTTTTATTGCTTGACAATGCTGCCCTGAACCCTTTCTCTGTAATGCATGTTAAAGCGACGAGAATGTTGACAATAAGGCGTTGAACACTACCAGAGAAAAATCAATAATATCAAAGTTGTATGATTAATTCTAAAGACTTTATTTCAACAAAAAAGAAATTATAATGTACATCAGAAAACATATAAAGTATAAATCCCTGGTTAATTATGTTGTACATATTCATTGAAATGCTTTTATCATGATTGAATTAATCTATACGACTGATTAGCTTTAACGATGACGTCGCTGGGCGGTTTCTAACCAGAGTACCACACTCCAGGGGTTCAGTAGGGATGGGCAGTGTTGGTCAATCGTCCGCGTATGACGTCAATCGGTTAACATGTTCTAAAATTGGTCGACCAAAGTTAACTCGGGTTTATACCTTGGTCAACGCAGGTTCACCAGGGCAATAGGGTTTTAAACTCGAATGGGAACATTCGATACCCGACTTGGGTACAATGTGTGAAGCCCATTTCAGGTGTCCCCCGCCGTGATATTGCTGTAACGTTGCTAAAAGCGGCGTTAAACCATATTCACTCACTCACAAAAGGGGAAAATAATTTAATACTATTTTATTCCCCTGATTGGTTTAAGACTTCAATAAAAACAGTCATATTTTGTGATTAGACTTTTCAAACATGTCCGATTACATGCAAATCATGTACCCAACATCGTGAATGGATACGAAGCCAAAGTATGGGTTTAAGCCAAAGGTTTTATATAAACGGCCCCAGGGATATACTGATATTCTCGGAGTTTCTATTTTTACGGATGAAGCAGAGTGCTAGCGCATCCTCACTGACCCTATGAATACTTAACACAAGTTACCTCCACCTGGGCGCACGGTCTGGTCTTAATTACTCCTACTGGTCTGACCTCGCCTTTACGTACGTTTGGCCGTGTTTATGTCTTTGTTGTTTTACGTCGAAGTCCCCTTTGTTTGTTTGTTTGTTTGTTGTTTAACGCCGCACACAGCAATATTCCAATATGACGGCGGTCTGTAAATAATCGAGTCTGGACCAGACAATCCTGTGACTGACATCATGAGCATGGATCTACGCAATTAGGATACGATGACATGCATCAACTAAGTAGAGTCTGACTACCGAATTTCGTTTGTCGCCTTTTACGACAGGCGTGGTTTGCCTAAGATCAATTCCAAGCCAGATTGGTCGAAGTCAGCTATATTGCAGCTATATGACTCCGCCCTGCATTTACCCGTGGACCCGTGAAGATTCCGGGATAGAATAGGTCTTCAGCAACCCATACTTGCCGTAAAAGGCGACTATGCTTGTCGTAAAAGGCGACTAACGGGATCGGGTGGTCAGGCTCGCTGACTTGGTTGATGCATGTCATCGTTTCCCAATTGCGTGGATCGATGTTCATGATGTTAATCACATGATTGTCTGGTCCAGACTCGATTATTTACAGACCGCCGTCATATAGATGGAAAAAATGCTGAGTGCGGCGTTAAACAACAAACAAGCAACAAGCATATACCCGTGTCCGGACCAACCAAACAAGTGTTTCCAGACATCTTCCAGAACTGTCAGATGATTCAAGCGTGAGTGGCAGAGTTGTGTCCCCTATGCGCGCCACAAACCTACGATCCCAAACATGCCCTGCTTTTATATTTCTAAGTTTGTCAGCACCATACCCGTGGGTTACACCAAAGAGTGAGTGAGTGAGTTAGATTTAACGCCGCTTTCAACAGTATTCCAGTTATATCACGGCGTGTCAGCTTAATGTGGGAGGAAAGCCCGAAGTGATGCAGGTCTCAGACATTTACCACTTCGGTGAAACCCACGAGCACGGGTATGGTGCTGACAAACCTAGAAACATAATCGGGGCGAACCGGGATTCGAACCCACAATCACAGATCTCTGCACAGTGAATTGCGGCGCCTTAGACGACTGGGCCACCCGTGCCCCGGTAGGCATTTTAAAATAATGACATCTACTTTTAAACACGTAGACTACAAAATGCGCTACAATATTCACAATAGTTTATTTCAAATGAACTTGGCAATTTAAGATAACGAGTTCACAGTAATGACTTGTTTGTTTCACTGCAAAACCAATATTGTTAGCTCACGGAAAACGACAATTGACTTCATTATTATTTTTAGTGAGACAGTGACTGAAGGTTTAACGTATCAACCCGTGAAAATCCGGGTAAGAATAGGCAATCTTCAGCAACCCATGCTTGCCGTAAAAGGCGACTATGCTTATCGTAAGAGGCAACTAACGGGATCGGGTAGTCAGACTCGCTGACTTGGTTGATGCATGTCATCGTATCCCATTTGCGTGGATCGATGCTCATGACGTCAATCACTTGATGGTCTGGTCCAGACTATTATTTACAGACCGCCGTCATATAGATGAAACATTGCAGATTGTGCCGTTAAACAACAAACAAACAAACAAACAAATAACAAAGCCGGATCCCCCGATCCCC